CTCATGCCTCCCCAGAAAGGGGGTGTGGACCTCTTCTCACCCCTATTGCATCCCAGATCAGGTAAAAGAAAAGCCGGCAACATACTGATTTTGTCCTGCCCTCGGAACTTTTCTTTTTTAGTTGGGAAAAGAATGACAGACAAAACATCAGAAAAGCTGATTTACTTCAAACTTTCCATCCCCTGAAAAGATCCGTGATGGTTGAGAGTTTAACCTCACTGTGAAGACAGTTTCTAGGAGCCAGCTAAACCTTTGTAAGGTGTATTTTGGAGCAATTAGAAAAACCTAAATTTGATAAGCACATAAATGAATTGGATTTAAAATTAAAAAATAGAGGGGGACACATAAATAGTGTTGGAGACACATGGGCTGATGTGAAAGTTGCCCATTTATTAGGGGTGCTATAGCCTGTAGGCTTGAGACTCAATAAAATTTGAAACTGGACAAGGAGAAGGCAGTGTGATAAAGCTGATTAATTCAACACTTGGAACACTCACATCCCCCTTGTCAGAGTGCCTGGGTTCAAGTTCTGCCTCTGCTTCCTATCCAGCTTCCTGCTGATGTGCACCTTGGGGCGCAGCAGGCAATGGCTCAAACACTGGGTTCCTGCAACCAATGAGATAGACACAGATGGAGTTCCTGGTTACTGGCATGAGATGGGCCAACTGCATGATCTGCAGGCATTTGGGGAATGAACAGTGTGTGGAAGATCTTTCACTCTGTGCACCTCTCTCTGTCAATTTGGCTTTCGAAATAAATGAAACTATATGTGCAAAACAAAATCTATGTGTAGCATGGATTAGGAAGACATGGGTTTGCGAAAACCATAAAGTGATGGTTCTTGCCTTCAAAGAAAATCTCCTTTCTCTGTCCTGTCCATATGGCATAATTAATAATGCATGACTGTGAAAATGCACCCTGGGAATGGTGCAGGTACAAAAGGCTGAGGCCATGATTTCTAAACGGAGAAAGGGTTCCTTGCAGGAGCTGAGGCTCTGCTGAGGGAGTGCTGTGGATGCATGGGACGAGCCTTGCCACTTGAATGCTTAGACTCTTAAAAAGCAACTTAGTTTTATATTGCATTAGGTCCTGGAGTTTCCTTGGGAAAAATCATCGCTTCACAATTAATTAGCAAGTGAATCACATAGTGATCCCCAAACATGAAATTATTGCTGTCATCCTTTGTGCTGTACTACCCTGCAAAAAGTGAATTCCACTTGGTCGTGAATACAAAAAGCAGGGATACACTTTCTAGAGATAGCATTTTCAGAGTCAAATTAGAAAAATAGAGAAAAGTAAAGGAGAAAGTAAATTTTTGTATTGTAAAATCAAAAGCAAAATGGTATTTGTAGTCCTCTTTCGTCTCCTGAAGCCATGCTACCCACTTTGAATAATAAAATAAACAAAATTAATGCAGAACTAACTGTCCTTGCTTGATTGCAAGGAGTAGAGGAATTGAATATTTGTTTTTATTTGATGCTATTGTGGGATTTTTTTTTTAATTCCCTGAACATGGCTTAGGAGGATCTGAGATATTATAATAGTGGATAGGAAATGCAAATGCATTTCACTTTGTCTAGCTGAATCCCGTTCTATTGTTGTTATGTCTCCTCTAATCCAAGTTGTCTTACTAGCATTTTTTCCCTTACCCTGTTTGGTGGACTGTTTCAGCCTACAGTTCTTTGTCACTCTCTCCATTAAGATGTATTCTCTTGTCCTTAAATCCGGGTCAAAACTGTCTCTAACTAGTAAGATGTAGTGGACATAACCTGTGCTGCTTGCAGGCCCAGATGCCAGCGTGTACTTCATCTATGCTTCTCCCTCTTCTGGTGCTTTCTCTTGGAGCCCAACTACCATGCAGGGACAGACCCAAATTCTGTAGGTAAGCCCCAAATTGGTGCACCATTTGGTAGTGCCAGCCGAGCTCCAGGTGCCGTCTCCTGTCAACCACTTGTAGGTGCGAGGACCCCCTGGCCTCAGTTTGGTTGTACCTACAGCTGGTTACAGCCAGAGCTGACATCAAATGGAGCAGAAGATTCACTCTCTAAAACACAGGAATCCTGCACACTAATGAACTCTAACAAAATAGTTGTGAATTTAACCTGCCTCGGGGCTTATTTTGCAATCACATATAAATTAAATAGAGCGTTCTGGAATTGAGAGAAACGGAGAACTCCAAGCGATAGTATTTAAATGGCCCATGTTTAATCCTCCAAGCCTCTGAAAAATTATTGAATTAAATTCTTGAAGACTCTTACTTTGGAAACTAGGCACCTGTAAGTGGTTTACAACCATGTTAATCCCTATATCACTGTTGTACTTTCTAGTTCCCGAATTCACCCATTGAAATCATAGTGAGCAATATATAATAAATGCATTTTTTTGATTTAAAAAGAAAGCAGTACATTTTTAGCAGAGATATCATGAAACAAAACTTGCATAAACCTTGGTTGTATAATGTTTTCTTTTTCAGTGTACGTTATAATTTTTCATGTGCTTTTTTTTTTTTAAATTCAAAAGGCAGAGGCAATCAAGAGGTTGGAGAGTGATAGCGGAAAAAGAGGAAAGAGCTCTTCAGTCCACTGATTCACTCCTTCAGTGCCTGTACTGGGAGTACAGGACTGGGCTGGAATTTTTAATATGAGCACTAGAGTAATGCACCATCATTTTTTTTGTCTGCTGACTATGTGTTTATAATGCTTGGTAAAATGAGTAGTTGCGATTGGCACAGGTTAAGAACTTTTTTTGATGATGATAGGTCTTTGTTCTTGCTGTTTTCTCCTTACCTGCCTGACTTGCAGATGACTGAACTGCATTATAGTCTTTAGAATTTAGATGACCTTGACCCTGGATGAAATGCAATGTATGGTACTTGAGTATAAAGTTGCTTTGGGACAGAATTGAATAACGAAATGTCCTATATTAAAACTGGGTGATCATTGCAAGAATTATAAATTGCTCTAGTTTGGCACAAATCTCTATCTGCTGATAAGATTTTTAATATTTGCATGATTATTGATCATTAGGGTGGTATAGGGTGGTAGTATCTGTGCTTGAATACTTTAATAAGAGTTTTTTTTTACAATATGAAATTTCACATCCATCATAAGAATCTTTGTAAGAATGCTCTTTTCGCTACTTCAAAATCTAATGATTACACCTGGAAAATAAGTGTAGGAATCATTTGAAAATACATATTGCAGCTGTATAGATGTAGACTGTACAGAGGTGAGCTTTCGGATAACTCATGTTGTCCACAAGCTTGTCATAGTCATGGTTACAATTATGCAGATTGAGAAAGGCTTTTGTTGTTGTCATCATCAGTGATAATACTGCAAACATATTTTCAGATGTTCATATCGTTTAAATCGCTTCTAGTTATGGACTAGTTTCTTCTAGAAAGAAATGATGGTATCCCCATCACATGCCATGCAAAGGTTAACACTTGCTGAATGCACTGGAGATTGCATTGAAGCCAGTATAATGTGCTTTAAGCAGAATTTCTGCAGACGCGAACTCTGATGCCACTGCCTCTGGGATGGCTCCTGTGGATGTCTGGTATAGATTTAGAGAGAGTTTATAAGTCTCCCATTGACATAGTGAAGAGAGTGGTTCCCTGGGAACCATTGGTGTGTCCAGTTCCAGCGAAGTAAGAATTAAAGGTTCAAAAGCAAAGAGTGTGCACAGCCAAAGAGCAGGATGATCAGTGAGTCTGGGTGTGCTAAGCACGTGGCCTTTCTTCCTCTGCTTTAATGACTGCTGTGTGCAAAGAAAAAAAAATAATAGCCGCATCGAAAGCCTCTGTAAGGCAGAACTCCTGAAACCTAACCCAAAGGCATGCTCTTAGTGCTGCTCTAGCTGAAGACATGTGGTATCTATTACTGCACCCAGGGAATTCAAACCTCTGCAGTGTGGAGTCACTGGCAGAGACTCATTTCACAGTGAAGTGCGCTAGCCCTTGCTCTCTTCCCAGCTTTGTTACTTGCCCGTGTTTCCTATTAACCTGACATTCATCTGGTCTCCTTTTGGGAGAGCGTGGGGACAAGGGAGATGAAAATTTAAAGGGGACCACAGTGCGGATCTGGGCTGCTATTCGCAATCTGTAGCACCCTCTCCCTACACACCCTCAGCATCTCACACCAGGGCACTCCAAGTCTCACTTAGTCCCTAGCAAAAAGCAGAGCTGTCCATGGTTAGGAAAATGTTTTAGCTGTCAGTTGAGACAGCTAGGTCCCTCTTGGTGAACAAAACTTATCTGAGGGCTAGGGAAGGAATGCTATCGGCCAGCCGCAGGCAGGAAGAAATTGCTGTTGAAAAGCTTTACCTCTCTAGGGAGGAATCAGATATCAGACTTTGCCAAGCCTCAGGTCCAACCCATAAGGTCCCACCTACATCCACCCCCCAACACACACCCCATCCAGCTTTGTTAGCTTGCTAGCATCGATCGCCAGCTTTTTCTCTGACCCAACAGTGGGTGAAGAAAAGAGAGCCAGCAGAGACAGACAGCAAGCAGGGTGGGTGGGAGTGGTGGAAGACTGACTGGGGGTGGGAGGGGGGGTGGCGCTTTTGTACAGAAAGAGAGAAAGGAAGAAAAGGGGTGGGGGCCCTGGAGACCAAGCTTAACTGGTGCCTGCCTGCTTCTCTTTGATTTGATGGTCTTTATTCCTTCTAATTGGATAAAATAGGAAGTCACTGGCAGTCCTGTGTTGCTGGGTGTACTGTACTGATTTCACTCAGACCAGCCAGCAGCTTGAGAGTGGGGGTTGGAAAAGGAGAAGAGGGGAAAGAAGAGGAGACAGAGGGAGAAAATAAAAAGAGAGGTGTGTGTTTGAGATGAGGAGGGGAAAGAAAGCAAGAGACTAAGAAAAAGGGAAGAGACACGCAGAAAGAAAGTGACTGAGCGCTCTGGAAGGACAAAGAGGTGTGGTGCGGGGGGGGGGGGGGGGGGGGTGGAGGCAGGGCGGGGAAGGGAGGGACCGCCCCTCCCGGCCGGCCGCAGGCTTCCCTTCAGATGCTTCTGTGATGCTGCTGTTTGCAGTGATGCTCCGAGGGCAGGCACCTGCTGCTCTGTAATGATTCAGCCTCTTTCAGCCGTCGCGTTAACACAACAGGATGCTGTTGCTACTGTCATTGCTGCCTCTCCTGCCGCCGCCGCTGCTGCCGCCGCCGCCGCTGCTCCTGCTTTTGCTTTTACTTCTCCTGCATGACAGTTGCTTTCTCCATCTAAGCAGACAGCAGCTTCAGATGCTCGAGGTGAGGAACATGCCTTTCAGTTTGGGCTACTGGTTTACCTAATTAACCAGCGAGCAGCTCCCGCTTCTGTTTTGGCCCCCTGTCCTCACGACCAGCTGGGATGCTTTGGAGAAGCATTGAAAAGAACTAGAAAAGTGGCCCAGAAACAAACAGCAGCTTAAAAAAATTATCACAATATACTTTTATTTTGTAGCTGTTAGAAGCTTTTTCTTTTTTTTTTTCCTTGCTTTTTTTTTTTAATGATCTTCCTTCCGTCTGAACTCCTCTTGCTTTGGATAATGGCTTTGGACTAGGACGACTTATCGATTTCCCTCTTTAAGATGCTGTCTCATTTGGTTGGGGGGGCCTCTGCGTGGTAATGGACGGTGCGAGAGGCCAGGCCTTCTTCTGGAGGTGAGCCCATGGAGATTTATTCCCCAGACATGTCTGAGGTAGCCACCGAGAGGTCCTCCAGCCCCTCCACTCAGCTGAGTGCAGACCCGTCTCTGGATGGGCTTCCCGCGGCCGAAGACATGCCCGAGACCCAGACAGAAGATGGGAGGACCTCCGGCCTGGTGGGCCTGGCGGTGCCCTGCTGTGTGTGTCTGGAAGCCGAGCGCCTGAGGGGTTGCCTCAACTCAGAGAAAATCTGCATTGTCCCCATCCTGGCATGCCTGCTCAGCCTCTGTCTCTGCATTGCCGGCCTCAAGTGGGTCTTTGTGGACAAGATATTTGAATATGACTCTCCCACTCACCTTGACCCCGGGGGGTTAGGCCAGGACCCTATTATTTCTCTGGCTCCCACTGCTGCCTCGGCCGTGTGGGTCTCTTCTGAGGCCTACACGTCACCTGTCTCTGGGGCTCAGGCTGAAGCTGAGGTTCAAGTTACAGTGCAAGTTGACGGTGGCCCTGTGGCCTCTAAGCCTCCAGCGCCACTGACCCCCAAGAATCGCCTGTTTGCTTTCTCCTTCCTGCCGCCCACGGCACCCTCCTTCCCTTCACCCACTCGGAACCCTGAGGTGAGAACACCTAAATCAGCAACTCAGCCACCAACGACAGAAACTAATCTCCAGACTGCTCCTAAACTTTGTAAGTAGAGCGACGTGGTGAGATGCACAAAGCAGAAGGGGGTGGGTTTGAGCTCCCAAAGGGTTCTCTCCAGAGCACCTCGCTTGGGTCCCTTTCGTCTTGTGTTTTAATTGCCTGGTTTCCTTTGATCGCATCATGTGATTGAGATGATCGGGGGTGGCAGGGAAGGGATGCGTAGAAAAATCTTGTAAACTCCCTGCGTCAGGGCACTGACTGCGGCTCCTCCAGCTGCATTGTTAAGTCTGGGGACAGGGATCCAAACCATGCTTGAATTTAAGTTCAGTCCAGTCTTTTTTTTTTTTTTTTTAACACTTTTTAGAATTAAAACATTGGCGCATCCCTTATTTCAGCATGCATATAACTTCTGTGTATCTCTGAGTATTATTTTGTCTCTTTTCCTCAATGTGGACTTCTCCACATCCTCTACCTCCCCAAGCTGCCGGTTACATTTCTCTCCCTTCTCTTTCTGTCCCCTGGTCTTTGCCTCCCCTGCCCCAACCCCATCTTTGTCTTTTAATCCATTCTTTCTGAAATGGCAGCAACTGCTAAGATGTTTCTGGTGCTCTACCTCCCAGGAGCTTGAGATGCCTGGCTGTCCTGCCCTTGGTCATGGTTCTGGCTGCTTACTGGGGGCAGCTTTGTTTGGTTTAGGATGCAGGACCGTTCTGGGTGAAGGGATTTTTCCCAGAGGAGTTTTTTTTTGTCTTTGGCAAGCCGATGTTTTAAGAGCTTCCTTGGCAATTGTTACAAAGCAAAGGATCTATTAGTAAGGTGCATCGTTGTTTTAGACATGTGTCATTTCAGACTGCCAGACTGCAGCAGTTTGGTTTAATGACCTGCAGGTGAAGGGAGCCCACGCTCCTAAAACAATACAGAGCACTCTCCTGCTGTTTGCACTGGCTCACTGAAATAGCTTTATAAAGAAAGTTGACAAGGATGAAACCATGACTCGTCAGATTGTTCTGAACATCAGTGTAGGGGGAGGAGTTTTCTGTAGCCTCTTTAAGTATTTCCACATTTGATATAAATGTATATATCTATGTCTGTCTCTCTATATATAATGTTCATTTAAGTGTAAATGTGTCTGTATATTCTGGTTTATTTGTATTTCAACTTCTACTCCTTTTCTTGCTTTTGATGAATATTCACCAAGTGGAATCAAAGTAAAAGATCAGAACATTTGATCCTTAATACCTTGTGTAAAATCTCTTAAAGAGTTAAAAAAAAAAAAAAAGAAAGAAAAAAGCTAGTCGAAAGTGAGGATTCTGTGACCACTCTGGTTTCCTTCTAGACTGTAAGACAGAGTGAGAAATACCTTTTGCAGGCATGATGTTCTGTGCGAACCAGAGCACTGTGGTAGAGAAATATAGCAAAACATAATTTGTGATTCAGGGAACTTAATTTGCGATACAGGGTCGGTTTACACACGCTGCTTGCAGTGGCACAGATTGAAAAAAAAAAGAGAGAGGGGATGAGAGATTTGTTTTCCAGGTGTAATTACCGGGAAAGCTCCCTGCAGACGCTGCTTTGTCCGTTTAGCCAATCCCTGAAGCCAGGTGGAAGCACTGAGAGTTACCGCTGCTCTCCCCGCCCCTCCCCACCTGGCAAAGTGACCGGGAGATAATACCCAGATGAAATGAAAGGGTCTAAACAGCTAGCGCAGCTCCTGCAAGAAGTCAAACTCACCATGCACACAAGGTTACTTCTTTGTTATTTTCAACTGAAGTGTCTCATTAAAATGTGTCTTCCTAGGTTTGATTGAGGGGGGGAGGGGAAGGAAGCTGTCAGTTTGAGAAATGCTTCCACCTGATTCTGTAATTGTATCACCCAAAGACATCCAATAAAGAAGCATCTAGTACCTTTTCCTGAACTAGGACCATGTCAGAAAGTATGCTGGGAGGTTTTGAGCAGTTATCTTTAGAAGGTGAATTCTTCTGCTTTGTGTTTTAATAGATGTCATATTCTGTTTTTTTTTCTTTTTTTCTTTCCTCTATTTTTTTCCCCCAGCCGTCATTGATTTTGTGGCATTTGTAATAAGTGGGAAAGATTTACTGCTGCCTAAAAGCATCACAGTGGCCAGTGTTGGCCAGAGGCACAGCTGCTGCTTTCTGAAGTGTGTTGGAAATAAGCCGGCACAGTCGTTCTGCGGAATAGTTTTCTCTGGAAAAGTTAGGGGTAAATGATGGGCTAACACTTGAAAGCCTGCTGGGTTCTCTCTGCAGAAAACTGCATTAATATTTTTAACTAGTGCCTTTAAAATTATTTTTTTAGAAATTTACCAGAAAATATCAACCGTGGTAGTAGATTAAGGACTGTCAGTCATGTGTTGGTTTGGGGGCACGGGTTGGTTGCAACAGCTTTGTTTCAGAGATCTCTAAGTGGCTGTTCTGCTTGTTATTTAAGAGTTCTGTAACCAGTATAGGAAAGAAGTAGATAAGCTTAGAACAGGACTGTCACTTCCTTTCTCCTTAGCTGAAAGGGCTAAGCAGGTACTGTTTCCTGGCACGAGGTGCAGGGCTTTCCTTTCATCATGCGTATTTTTAATGTGAACTAACCTGTTGTGGCTCAGATATGAAAATGACATTACCATTTCTGATGCATGTCTCAGTGGTTTCAGAATTTTGTTCTTCCTTTTCCATTTTCCCCCTGCCTCAGCATATTCAGCATGTTACATGCGGGGCTGTAGCCTTCAAGGTCATTGGCATTTGAGAGCTAATTGATTCTTCTTTCTCCTGGAGCCTGAGAGAGGGGAGGAGAGACAGTCCCAGTAATTGTGTCTGCTCTGTCACTTCCTCAACCAGTCTACCCAGTCACATTCAATTTTATAAATACTAGAATTACTCTTTTCCTCCCTGATTGTTATTCACTTATAACATTCTTGATCTTTAGTATAATAAAAGGTAAAAATGCAGCATTTTATATATCCATAGTTTAGGTATCTGTGGTCTGGTTTTCTATAGGGGTGAGGTAATATGCTTTCATGTTTTCACTGTATTAATCCATGCATGTCTGGAGAGTTTAAGGAGTAAAAACAGAAGTAATGTTTTTTAGCTGAAGATTTTCTATGAGTAGCTAGTAATTGCCACTGCCACATATGAATTAAGCTTTTATCTTTAACCTAGTCTTGTCATACTTGAACCACCCATATGCTGTCTCTGCCTGGGCTTTTAAATTCTGCCAACCTTGTATTTGTGTGGGAAGGACTGACATTTGGGAAACTGAAAATTCAGGCTGCCACAAGAACTGGTTAATATTGTTGCCAGGACACTGTGGTGCCTTCTTGAAAGGAAAATTATTCTCTGGATTGGAGACCCTGCTTGACAACAGACTCTTGGAAGCAGGAATGTGTTAGCATTTGCATCTTAGACCACATTTATTTTGCTTTCTCTTAAACCTTTTTATGGAAGCGCATGGCAAAGCATTGTTACCACAGTGACAATATGAATCATCACCATCTGCAGAGGATCAGGCTGATGGATTGGACGTACCAATGGACTCCTTCCCCTTATCTGAGCTCCAGTGGGGCCTTCTTCTGACTCCTTGCAACTGGGCTTGTAGATCTTTCATAAGCAGAATTTCTAACAACTTTTGGGCACCCTAGCCATACTCATTTAAATCTTGGACATTAAAAAAAAAACCAAAAGGAAATAAAATATCTCCAGTTTGAATGAAATAATTTTATAAGTTTACTGATGAAACCCGGGCTCTGAAACATTACCTGAAACTCTTGTACCAAAAATCACTAAATGCTGAAAAAATTAAGTGAAAATTATACCGTGTCCAACCATTTAAAGAAACACATGTATTCACACACATACGTAATATGCATACACACACATGTACTCATGCTGCACTGCCACTTTTTCCTTATCCCTGTTTTAGAGACATCAAGCTGAATGTTGAACGAGAATTTTACTGGCATTGGACTGGCAGAGAAGTTCAAGTTAATGACCACTACTCAAGCGTGTCTAGCTCCTATCACCTAAATTAAATTTTCTTCTTGCTTTCCTGTCTTGCTTTTATTAAATTGTCAGTATTGGTATCAGTGGCCTCTTCCCTTTGCATCCATCCAGGGTTCAGCACGCTCTTGACAACGGCTTGGATGGCTAAGGGTGAGCTCTTCTCTGATGGATGGCAAATGGCAGTGTGGAACTCACCTCTTGGCTTTCATATGCCACCTGGAGTTTTCTTCCTCACTCCTTTGAGACTTTCAAATTAATCTTAGTGCTCTTGTGCCATCCTGAGTCCTCACTCAGATGCTGCAGCTTCCTTCTTGTGACCTTGTGGCCTGTTTAAAATATCAAAATATCTTATCTTTTCAAATGGATCTTTATTATGTTTCACTACTGAATGATATAAGAGTTTATCAGAGATGGAGTTAAAGGACATGCTTATTCCATGTAGTGTAAAAATTGTTTTTGAGACCTGGGAACATTGGAGATTATGAGTAAGTTTGTGGAAAACATATACTAAGAAAAAATATTGCATGGATTTAGATTATTTTTTGTACCACAATGAACATCTCTGATTCCACTTTTCCACTTATTTTTTTGAGTCATCCTTGCATTACAAATGTACAAAGCACTGTTTATAGCTAATGAACAATAATATACCATTTCCTGTTGGCACAACCCATCAGAAGCTTTGTTCCTCTTCCTTCTTGCTTCTTCTTCCTGTCCCTGTTTTCTCTGCTAATGCTTTTACATGCTTGTACATGCCATCTTTTCTTCATGCCCAGAAAATGATCGTTCTAAAACCATACAACTTGTTTTCTTTCCTCCTTGCCTGAGTAACATCTCACAGTACACTTTGAAAGCATGAGGAGTTATTTGATAGATTAAAAAACTGAAGCGTGATGATATCACAGATTGTCTGGACATTCCTGAGAACCAGGGCCTTAGTTCCTGCCCACTGAATCTACTGAAGTTTCCCTGGGACTGTATGGTGTACCATGTGTGTATCTGCTGCTATGGTCTAGTTTGCTTCAGTATTATTTTTCT